GGACTCAGGCACCTCAGGAATGTGGAAATCATCGCGTGGACTTGACGAACCCTCCAACCAACTTGGCGTATATTCCTCCATACCAAGAAGATCTTCGTCCTTACGGATTACAAAATCGGGTTTGGTAGAATCTTCGTTTGACTTAGTCTCCTGATTATGACCCCCTTCACCCCCTTCAACCAACATTTCATGATCTTTGGACCGAGACGGAGGTCCAAAACGAGTTGCAACTGGAATCGGTGGCTCTGGAAGTGAATCAGGTCTTGGCTGCTTGCCAGTAAGTCGAACAGGATGCTCGGCATCTGAAGTCCTACCGACTGGCTGCACTTGTGCGGATGGCAAATCACGAATGCCTTTCAACTCCTGTTCCTTCAACCACTTGACGTACCGATCAATGCATACCTTGTGATGCACCTTGCCATGAAAGGAACCTTTGCTGTTGGCGCAAATGCCACAACCTTTAGTCTTACCAAACTTATTGATGAAGCTGGCAGGTACATTCTTAATCTGATCGAACTCAGTGCTCTTATGAACTATGGATGGCTCGGAACGACGTTCGGCACCGGTTGAAATGGACCTGCTCTTGGCTTGAGAAGGTTGTGCATCGCGAGATGGATCGGCCTCAAGATCAATCGGTTGCGCTTCTCCCCCATTTTCCCTTGACGGCTTTGGTGGTAGTGAAATCTCAACAAGAAATGAAGGAGCCAAGCTACAATCCCAACTTAAAGGTGTGAGGAACTTGATGGACTTTGAGATGAAAATGCATTCTTCGCCGTTGAGAACAGTAACACAGAGATGTCCCAATGAAGCAAACTCTGGCCTCAAATAACATGATTTCTCAAACCTGGAAACTGCTTTGTTTACCAAGCTATGAGGGATTTCTGCAAGAACCAACGATCCGAAAAGACTGGTTTGCATTTCGACGTCACGACCGATCAAAATTGTCTTTGGGGATCTCTTAGTGTCTTTGAAGCTCGAATGCAAGTTGTAGCACATACAAATGTATGCCAACACGGTGTTCAGACATGATCTACTATCGAGCTTGAGATCGACCCCAAACGACCTTAGATCTTGACGGAGTGCGGCAAAGCTATCCTTGAGGATACGAATAGCTCCCTCGGCGTGTCCCACTGTCTGGTGGCTTTGTGGTGAGGCTTTGAAGAACACAATGTCACGTCCAAGATCAACTCCTTAAACAAGGATGCGACACTCGCTTCGGCATCGGTAAGCACTTCCAGGGCATACGCATACCGGGACTCACCACCTGAGAAACCAAATTCATTCATCCAACTCTTGATCCATGTTCGAGTGTTGATGACATTGGGCAAAACTGGAACACATGCTTTCATACCCGTATGAACATCGACCATGATCAAAAATTTCCATTGCTCTTTTGAATTTGGTGGGACATTCCTCAAGAAAAAGAAATCGGCACAGATCTCGCTAGAGTTCTTATTAACCCGACGACGATGCTGGTGCGTCGACTTGGCTGACACACATGCGAGGCAATCTGGATGAAATGGAAAATGGCCTTGGCGGCGGTGCTCATCCAAGGACAGCTTGTCCCGATTCTTCTTTTTCAAGACTGATGGATGCTCTGTTTCAGCTTCGGCACTCACGACTTCGACAGATTTCGGCTGAGAACTTGACGGATCGGCATTGGGCAGACCTGATGGGACTGCATGAGATGGTTCATGGGACTCTGGATTTGGGAATGGGACCAACTCCTGACTGCTCCGAAATGGATTGGGCTCATATTGGGATGGACCGACCGAACTGCTGGAACCAGTGTGCTGCTCGGCAGCTTCTGAGACGCGGACAAAACGGTTCGGTTCCACAGCCGCGGGTTCGGCTGCTTGAGATGAAATCGGCTGATGACGCGGCATGAAAACAACTTCCGCTTCTTCTGACCTTGAGGGATCAGCGGCTTCACTATCACCTAAATCAACCTCTGCCTTTCTCTTGCTGGCCATCAAAAGAGGATGCTTCTTGGCTTTCGAATCAGATGCGGTTTCGGCAAACGAAACGTGTTTTCCAGCGGATGGTCGATTGCTCCAAGTTGTCTTCGGCAAATCGCAAGCCGTCGAGCTTCCACTGGCTTGATGATGTGAATCTTCTCGATCTCCATCTTTGTAATGGAGGATCCCAAGGACATTCATCCATGTCACAACATCCAATCGGAAGTCATCAAAAGAGACTACCATTTCAGAACCATTGTTTGAAAGCTTCCATCCCCTAGTCAACAAACTACCAACACTGAGAACATTGTTGGGAACATCGGCCACAAATGCTAAAATTCTGCACACCTTCCAACATGAAACCTTGGGATCCACAAGCGAAATCATATGGAACGATGTTGCGATACAAACCAACTTGCTGGGATGGATTGTTTCGCCACTAGCCGACGAGAATCCGTCGCTGAGAGGTTCCAAAGTCCTTTCTTTGATAACCCTATAGTCAGAAATGAAACGGCTGCTCACAACAGAGGCACTGGCTCCTGAGTCGATCAACCACCATAGGTTGTCACTTGTCTTTGTGTCTGATGGACAACTAACTGGCATAAACAAAGGCATCAAAACTTGTCGATCAAGATTAATATCATTTAAACATATAGCCTCTTGGCTTTGATCTTGATGAACATCACAAAAACTTGCAAGTGGAAGGGAAACTAGGTTACCTGGATCCAAATAGTTACGAGTTTGTTCACTCGCATACTTCTTTGAGTTTTCAAGATCCCAGTCCTCAAACCAATCACTGCTCTGGTCACAATTGAGGCTGGTTTCACGCTCAAAATCCAACATGGTCCGGTAACATGACGATGGCATGGTGCTGGAAGCGACAAAAGGCGTGAGCGGCACATTCAAAGGCGGGGTTGCGGCAGCTTTCGCAGCAGGCGACATTTCGCTCTCTGGCTGTCCCTCGGCCTCTGAGATGAACTCGGCAATCTTGCCTTTGCCCTTTCCTTTGCCCTTCTTGGGCGGCCCATCTTTTCCTTTCCCCTTTCCACCTTTCTTTGAGCCTTTTGGATCCTGATGAGATCCTTTGGAATCAGGAGCTGCTGCCAAAGCCTTACCTTCTTTGTCGGTCTTTGCTCGGCAGTTGGATTGAAAGTGCCCTTTTCTCCCACAACGAAAGCAGGTTGATTGCTTCTCCTTCTCGCTGCGATCATCAGCCTTGTTTGGAGAGGTCGAATCTGAGCGATGCTTACCCTTTTCTTTGCCCTTTCCTTTACCTTTGCCTTTCTTGTCGAAGACACCTTGATTCAGGTACTGAGATGCTGTGCTGCCTCCTATTTCCATCCAGAGTCGCTGACTGCTCTCATGACGAAGTGCTGACTGTTTCAAATCGATGTAGGCATCAGATGCACCATGGATGGTCACAAACTCACGCACCTGCTGAGGAAGTGAGCGAAGGAACAACATGCTGAGGTCTGTGTCCTGGATTTCAAGGCCACTTTTGGATATACCACTTGGAAGCATGTTCAACAGTTTCTCATACCTGGACTCCTCAAACTCCATCTGTTTGACCAACTCTGTAACACTGCCGGACTTGAATACCCTTGACAACAGGTTGTTTCTAAAGTGCATGATCTCTTGCCTTGACCTGACCATGTACTCAATCGTGACTAATCTCAAGGCCTCAAACCCGTTCTTCTCGCCATAGGACTCGCTGTAGGCCATCAAAATGATGCGAGCCTTGGGCACGTCTCGAAAGACCTGGCGAAGGATATTCAAAAGGCGAAGGCCCCTTGATTTCTGTTCTTCTGTCAGCATGTTGGGTTCAATCATCGTTTTCGAGGTGGCTGCAAATCTGACTTCTTGACTGAACTTTTCCGACACCAAGCCCAGCCACGATGTCAGTGACTCCAGGAAATTCTCATACCCCAGAATCTCATCTGTCCTGGTCTTCCATGAAGACGTGTTGATCGTTGGCATCGATGGCAACCACTTGTCCGACCTTTGCAGTGCGTCAAGCTGAAAACTCTGCGATCCGCTTCCAGATGACGAACTTGGCACTTGAGTACCAGCTGGAGCGGCACCTGATGAGCCTAATGGTATGGAAGTCCCATCGGGCAAAACCAACTTTGCAACACCAATGGATGCGGCTTGCTGACCTGAGGTGGTCTGTGCAGCGGCTTCGAATGGCGAAGACAAACCTCCGTTAGGCGTCGGCTTCGAAGGCATTGGTTTGCTGTCCAAATTGAATGGACTGTCACGAGGCTTTCGAGGTGTAATCGGCAGCTGTGTGGCTTGAGCACGCAAAGAATCCAATTGAACCTGCTGAGTCTGGAACGCTGTTTGCGCTTGTTTCATAACTTCTTGTTGCTGTTGAACCATTCCAGCAAGTGTCACAATTTGGCTATTCATACCAACCAATGACTGTGTCATACTGTTCAACTGGCTTTCCAATCGAGACGAAACAGCTGGTGGTAATGTACTAGGATGAGGAGCTTCTACCACTGCAGGCAAAGAACGAAGCCGTCTTCGGCCTCGAGGTGAACGATCTCTAAGGTCACCTCCATCGTTCACAGATTCGTCTCCCATGGCTCGAGCTCGTGTTCGGATGTGAGTGCTGTGGTTCCCCAAAAGGTTCTGGATCGAATTAATTATGAGCACCATGTGCTCCGCTACCATGCGGAATTTCTGAACCAGATTGGAACATGTGGGGAACCTAACATGAAGCATGAAAGGGAACATGGGACATGACCCGAACCCAAACACACATCGCACCTTTTCTCGCTGACTCATGTCATGCGTTCGAACGACGAATGGCTCGGCCTTGAGCCAATGCAGGCATAGGATCGGTTGATCCGTGCACCATGGTTGGGAATCCATCCACAACGAAGGTTGACAATGGCCACATTGGCGACCTCCTGGATATCTAGAGCTTCAACTCATAGACTCACAAAACTTGCATAGTAACCTTCACGGTCACAACTGGAAATGGCTGGATCACGAGTGATTTCAACTTTCCACACCCGGGGGTCATTTCGACGGCAGGTGCGGCCCACAAGCATGATGGGCCCCAGCCCGCGCTGGGGTAAGACGGATGCCACCTACGACTGGAGCCGCGCAGCTGGTAGCTGTGGCTTGGGCGAGAGTGCTGCAAGAATGGAGTCAAATCAGCAATTGGTATGTTCTGGAAGGGAGCTCTAAGGGTGTTTTGCACAGGTCTTTCATGTACTATGCAGTATTCCGATTGTTTCACTTGCTTTGGCATCAATGGTGTCAGTCAGAGCATCAAATGGAACCAGAACAAACACCACATTTTGTCGGTGCACAAGTGAGGTGCATTCTTTTGATATGATCAAACTAGTGAGTGAGGTGCCCGCGCGTTGATGGATGCAGCAGCGCCGGGCTTGCTGGTCTCTCGAAGTCAGCTTTGACGGGAGTGCTGGGCACATTGGTTTGGAATGTTTTTTCTGCCAAGTGTCAGTTTTGGCTTCCCTCATTGAGACCGAGAGCCATTGATTAACTGCCTCTAGTTTAGGGAGAGTTAACTTCGGAAGATGTCCCAATTAACCTTAATCGCCCAAGACGGTTGATGTGCACCGGTGTACCATGGTGTACCCTTGATGTTTGGGCAGTGAAGGGAGGCAAATGATCTTCATTGATTTTATATGATTTTCTAACAGACCCTAGATGTCAGCTGCAGCATACATCGAGTAAAGTCGAGTTCGGAAGAGTTTGTTGCGAGGGTTAACATCAGCAAATCGTTATCCACAATGCTGCATACTTCCATTTAGCGCCCGTTTTGTTTGCGTAGATACTTTCCGTAGATACTCAGCATGGGTTTCCTTGCTGGTAACTCGGTTCACTGGCCAATTCTCTTGTTTTCCTTGGCCACGGTGGCGACCAAAACTTGTGCACGTGTTTTCAAACCTGGCACAAGGGCACATATCGTACGTGTATATGTTACTATATATATATGTGTGTGTGTGTGCATGCTGCATGCATGTTTAACGTAAAACAAAAACAGCACAGCCCATGTGCAACTCCCTCATCAAACCGAAGACCTGATGTGCCACCCGCACGGTTGGATCCGCTCAGGTCATCGAGCGGATCGCATGGCCTCAGAATAGCCTGCGAGCACCACCCTCAGCACTGAAGATGCCAATTGAGATCGTCTCAGTGTTCCCAGAAAATGATGTGGGTGTTGTGCTAAATCAGGATTTCTTCGCCAATCTGGTAGACACGTTTCACATCTTTTCACATCCTGCGGCATCCCTCTGCTCGAGGAGATGTTGAGTCCAAAACCACCCTGGGAAGCCTGGAATGTCCCCAGCTTCTTGGCAGCCAGGATAGCCTCTCTGTTGTTTGTGTTAAGTCTGGAGAACGCCTGGGAGGCTCTAGCACCTTCCAAGTCTGAAAGCATCAACTTGGAACCCATGACAACCTCAACTTGGGAGGAGAACGAATTAATCGACGCGGAAGCTTGTTGAAGGATCAGAGGAATGTTGGCGGTCTCTTGGACCCTGGCTCTTTATCCGCTCTTTTCGTGGTTGTGAACTACCAGTCTCTTAATTCGATTGTTTTCCCAAGGAGGCCACTGGGTGGATTGAAACCGCAGTCTGCTTCGATGTCTGTAATGATTCCAAGGAGATCGAATAGTGCTGTCCGTGCACATGTATGCTTCTTGCCAGCAAAGGGTCACAAGCTAGTTCAGGCCAATGAGACGAGCCGTGAGAGCTGTCGGGATGGTCAACGCGTTGTCGTTTCAGATAGATTGCCCATGTTTGGAAACAATTGTGGGCTGGAACCCTCGTCTTCACAACCCGCATTCGGCTGACAAGAGTAACTCTCAGAATCCTGGTTTTCACTCGTGTTAAAGCCATGTGTTTGGAGGATAATGAACACGATTGAATATGCAGTAATTATATAATATGATTCTGCGTTGCTTGACCCATTGTCATGTCCGCTTCCTTGCGAGGTTTCTCATACGGATCCAAGCAGGCCAAGGAATCCCTTCAGTATGAGCTCACCAGGAGTTTAAGTGATGAAACAAACCTGGCACTACCTGATAACCACAGATCACCATCCAAACATCAAAGAAGTCTAACTTTGCCGCATCCTGCAGGATATCTGAAATTTGACGCAATGCAGTTTTGCAAAAGATATATTGAATTACTCATTACCCTCCGTAAAAACATCACCACTCCACAGAGGGCCCCTTGGAAGATAAGTTCATCTCTCCCTTTGCAACTCAATTCCTGCGACACAAATCCATTTCAACCTCTGACATCAAGCACCACGTCAGTTCTCAACAGAAACCGTCCTTCTGGAACCCACCGTTGGACTGTGTTCCATGTTGTGTCACTCTCTGGAACAATCATGATTACGATGGCACGGCCCCGAAAGGAGGACCGCTTTCCGAACACCAAACAGATGGTTTGCCACTTCCATGATGATTCCAGGGAGTGTAACAGGATTATACTCCCGACAGATTCAGCTGCAATCCTCAGGAAGTGGGTGGAAGTGGTGGGGCCATGCCATATTTCATGATTTCTGGAAGACAACAGGTGACATGGTGATCCACATGGTGTTGTTTTCCACCTCAGCGAAGGCCTGGAGTGGTCCTGGCGCTTGGAGCCCCAAGCATTTCATGCCAGGCGCTCTCTGTGGACGCTGTCGTGCTGTGATTTGATTCGTGCTGCTGAGAGTGGGACGTTGTATCAGTCTCAAGACCTTCCACAAGTCCACCCTCCAACAGAGCATAGGAGCCAGGACACCACTAGGGGCTCCTGGCCGTACTACTAGGAGCAAGAAGCTGCTAAAAGCTACTAGTAACAAGAAGCTACTAGTATAGACTCAGTCGAGTCACATGTCGTCACGTGTTGCTTCGCTTTGTCCTTCGATCCAAGGGACGCTCCACCCGGCGAGGCCTCCTCCGGTCCGTCTTCGACGTGGTGGACTATGTGGGCGCACGAGCGCTCTATGGAGAGATGGGTTCCTCGACCCGATTGGAAAGAGGGTGGACTTGCAAGGGAGGTCTTCATATTACGACGAACGGTATAATTAAACTTGAAATGAAGAATGTTGCATAGGATTTGAATAGGAGTTGTGAATTTTTGAAAGAGGGCTATGTCACGGTATTGTAATTTTTGGCCGATAACACACGTCGGAGGGCCCTTGGGGGCGCTGGCAAGAAGCGTGCAGCTGCAAAAGTTGAGATTCCTCACTTGGAGAAGCGTGCAGCTCAAGTGAAGGTTCTATGGATTTCCAAGTGAACTAGAATGATAAGACAAGGATAGTCAAGGTGTTGGTGACTACAGTGCTCCATCGGCAGTATTTCTTTGACCCAGGTCAGGCAGCTTTGGAAACACAGATGGACCAAGACTTCGGATTTTGCATTGACGAGGCGCGCGACGGGTGCCATGGCACTTCGGGAAATGCAAGGGTCGTGCCACATGATCAGGGGGTTCTTTAAACCACCCTTTGGGTGGTGCTGCCACAAGGCACTAATTGTTTAGATCGTAGAAGCCCACAGAAATGTTTGACAGGACCTTTGCCCTGTGTGGCTGTCCGAACTGGGCTGCTCCCTTGACAGCGAGCTCGAGTGGTTTGGAAAGGTCTGCAAGTATTTGGAGCCTTGGCAATGATGGTGAAACTCTCAGCAGATCATCAACATAGAGGTATGCAGGTCATGATGTAAGTAGCCACTGTATCTCATTTAGAACTGCAAGTATAGTGAGTGTTAATCCCTCCAGTTGCATGGCAGCTTGGAAGACTAGCACGCGGACAGGTGGCGCCCGAGTGACGCATTTCCACAGCATAAACATGTTGCATAAGATGGTCACTGCGATTGAGTGGTTTGCCTCGATAGATGGGGTTCGAGTCTCTCCACTGCTCAATTCACCTGTTTCGTGCAAAGCATCAATTCAGAACATCCAATGCTCTTCCAAACACCAGACACTGCCAGACACTGCCCGCTTCTGCAGATCCGGAAAAGACTTGTCAACCGAGGAGCGCAAGGACGTGGACTTTGCTTACTGGCCGCTCAATGTGGGGCCCAAGCCCGGCAGCGGTGCGGACGACGAGCCGCTCGGTGCTTCTCAAAGAGCTGAGGAGATAGAGGAGTGATTGGGGAGTCACAGTTTTGCAGTTTATTGTATTTATAGATATATTTGGATATCTTTAATGATTTCTTGGGGGTTCAGGTCATCAACCAAGTATGGTTAAGCTTCTCCCTCCGGCAGATGCTTTGCGTGCTATCTCGCGCTACCTGTCACAATATGCAACGGGTCCTTTCTTCCCTAACTCTTCACTTGTAAACAAGTGAATTTCAACAGTCTCGCTCACATGGGATTGGCTCCCACCCACATGTGGGTGGATGGTGCAAGTTCACCACATTACTTACAAGTTGACCAGATAATCCCAGGATTACAAAAGCTATCTTCCAGGGCAAGCCTTGCCGGCTAACTTGGCCCTTTGCACGGACCTGGAGGTTGAACGAGACATTATCAGACGCACCCGCGGATCTGATTCCCGACTTTCACTTGCGAAGTGTTGATCAAGCACAACGTTGCATGGCAAGTACACATGCCAAAAATTCCAGTGGCGTTCTTGATAGTCTGGGGGCTGGGCAAGGGGCAACGTAGCAAACATCGACCGCAAGTCGGACTGGTGTTAATTTTCAGCTGAACTGATTCGATTGAAAAAGACTTTGTGTAACAGGGCCAAGCAAATCTAACATCACCAAAGGGCCAAATGTGTTGCATTGAGCGGTTGAACGATTTCCAGAGTGGTATTATACGGCATAAGTTTGGCCAAACTTTCGATTAGATCATCCAATGATAGAAGCCAGCATACGGTGAAAGACCTTACATGAGACATGACGAACCCAGAGAAGGTACAAACTGAAGACACTCAGTGCACACTCAGTGACAAACTAAAAACCCAGGTGACACATGGTAGCACAGTTCTGCGGGTCGGTGACCGATGGTAGCACAGTATGAGAATGGTCATGCTTTCGGGGGCCATGCCATGCACGTAACCAATCCAGGAACTGTAACTTCTTTGGATCTTCATCCTTTTGTTGTCCTTCTCACTCTGGCAGGTCTTCACAGGATGTTGTAAAAAGCACGTCACATGTTTGAGGTGACTTAAAATATCATCATCCAAAGTGGTTTGTAAATTGTGCCAGGCAAACTTTGAAGCCGAGAAGGTACTTGGATCCCTTTGGACCCCAAAAGTGAGCTCAAATACCACCGGGAAGGGCCAAAGACGGAAAAGGACCGCGGAACTCGTGCGCCACGGACTTGGCGACGCCTCGACGCAGGGCCTACGGCATTTTGACCAACGACTGGCAGCCGCGCTGGGCCGACCCCCGCTTGCAGGTGCGAAGATGTGCGAAGGGACTGGGTGGAGACAAAAGCTTTGCCAAGACTTCGTTGCGAATGAAATCGGGATTCAAGGATTGCTGGCCATACTTCCAGCCGGATGTCATGATTGAAGCATTGCAGAATAATTTGTGCATTCGTATTGCGGAAGTGGTTTGGTCTTGGAGGTTGGCCATGAAGTGAGGGTGGCCAGGAAGTTGACGGCCCAAATCGATTTCTTGCAATAACACGTGTTCTGCCGCTTTGGAATAAGCGCCTAAACAATTCAATTGCTACTGTAATTGCCTCGTAGATGCCCTGATCGGTTTTGGTCCCGGAGTTGGACCAGGCAGCTGGCTGGGTAGTCCATGTGGGTGGCAAACTGAATGGCTGGGGTGTTTTACCAAGGAGATCCTTGGGCCAAAAAAGGCCAAAAAGCATTTCAGAGCGTTTCTTGTATCTCCATGCAAACCAGTCCCTGCACCGGCTGGGCCTATGTCCTTCCCAGGCCTTGCGACGCTTATGTCCCGAGCCCTTAATACCCTCACCGCGGAAAGTGAGGCGTGGCGGCGTGGAGGTGAAACTCCATCTTTGTTCGGATTCGTTCGGATTTCGTGAAAACGATGGGATCACAACAATACAAAGCTTCTTGAGTTATCCTACACTGTGATCCTGACAGATAGCTCTTGTTAATTGTCAGGTTCAGGCAACCATTCGAGTAATAGCTCTTGTTTAGTAATCACACCACCAGCAGATTCGGTGCGGCATGGTGATGGAGGAGACGGAGGCTTGATCCTCTGTCACATGTCATGTGTTTTTGTCGTTTGGATCAGGCGTCCTTTGCAGCTTCCTCGATCACGAGCAGATTCTGCAGGTACGCTATGGTATCGCTTTGGGGTTAGGCCCCAGAAGACGTCCAAACGGCTTGGGTCCCAACCTGCGACATCATGGTTCCCAACATTGGAACGAACATTGTTTGAAACACCGGTCACCCATAGTCACTCAGATTTCTTCTCTAATTGGGAGTCTTTGGAGCAGTTCAAGGGGGAGAGTGTGCAGAACGTAGAATGATTTCACAATCATGTTGTTCACGCTGCCTGCCGGAGGAGCCATCTACGTTATTGTTGCCGATGTGTGCTTGCTTGTTAATCGTGCAATGCGTTGAAACAACTTTTCCAAGCTTTTACACCACCTAAGTCGAGTGTTTCATCATTTTGTCGTCACGGGCAGGACTTGTTCGTCATCGAAATAGTGGATTCCATGGACCACGAGCAACAACGCTACTAGGGGCTCCTGGCATCGCTAGTAACAAGAAGCTACTAGGAGCAAGGACGCTACTAGGGGCTCCTGGACCACTGGCTTTCATCGCCCAGGAACGCCCAGTCCCTTCCATGTGATCACGCCCAGTCCCGATACAGCAGCAGGTGAGAAGATGGGAAAAGGGGGCTGTCTAAGAGGGGAAGGCAAAAAGGTTGCTGTCAGGTGCTGAAGACATGAAAGATGGATGTGGCTTGAGTGATCAGCTCATTTTAATTCAATTCATCCCAGCGAAATTCCCTCAGATGGCAACAGCTTTTCTTTCACAAATAAATCGAAGCAACGTATATGTAATATGTATGTGTTCTTTGGCTGTCGGATCCCTTTTGACACGCTGTGCTCTGGAGAATCAGACTCTCCTGACTCCTGACTCTTCACGTGTGAGGGGACGCCGCAGCGCAGACTCACCTCCCCCTCTTCCAATCTTGTCAAGTGCCATCCCATGACTTCCGTGTTTGGATGGAGTTTCAGACTCCAAGGGAACGGTTCGCCCGGAAGATCTCAGCCCCCGACAGAACTGCTCCATGTAGTGTCCCAGAGACATCCGATGTGATGCGCGCTGAGGCAGTCCAACCTGCAGCTGTATAGACAAAATCGATCTCAAGCAAAGGGCCCCAAACAAAGGACTCTCTGCGACATGCGGACGGGTATAGGCCTGGTTCTGGAGCCATAGTACCGAGCCATGAAAAAAAACTCATTCCAGACCAGCAGATCATAGCAAGGTGTTCTCGCCCAAAGGTGTGAAGATCATTTGCGTTTCAGAGGTGTGACCAGCGTCCGACCATAAAAATCTCCAAAGGAAGAATCTGGGGTCTGTTTGGAACCTGAAAGGACCCTAATCTATTGTCATTAAACACACCGTTCCAGTCTTGACCCACCCATGTCTCCCTGGCAAGACCCGCAAAACTTAAGTCGTTTCAGGCATCCTTTGAATCCGAACGCGCGGGGGGAACCCACCGCTGCGGCTCATTCGCCTTCGCTGCGTTCGTTGCGCCGCGCCGCAGTTGCGACACCCAGCTGCTACGGTCAAGTGGACGAGCCACTTTGGCGAGCGCCATTCCCTTGGTGCCAGCCCTTGCCAGGCACGGGGGTCAGGGGGATAGTCGAAACACCAGAGGTATGGGGGGCTGAGCAGGCGTTGTCTCCAGTTGGACAAGGAACAGAGTGTAAAACTTTGTAAAGCTGCTCTTTACTGCAAGATGAGGTGGCATATTCTTTCCGAATTTCTGCAATGATGGGCACCACTGAATGAGGGACCATGAATTTGCTGAACTTTTGTGTCTCAGAAATCAATCAGAGACAAAGAAGGACCCGATCAAGCACCAGTTGGAAGACCACCAAGTTGACTTATGGCAACTAACTACTTAAGTCTTGGAAGATCTTTCTCCTGTACTAGTAGTTGCGGGAGTTTTGGCCATGGGGGATGGTACACCCTTTTGACTCGTGATATTGCCATGGGCAAGCTCATGAGCATTCTGTCCCCCAGTTGTAATGTTGTCACGTTGTTTGGTGGTTTTCTTTCAATCAAGACAAAGCGTTGGGATGGTTCTGAACCTGAAATCGTGCTGGTCGAAAGCTATAACACCTACAACTGTGTATTAGAGCCTAAAGGGCATCGCTAGAATCCTCATATTGCCTTCTTGGTGGCAAAGTGTGGGAAGGATGGCTTCTGAAGTCAAAGCAAATGACTTTTTACAAGGGGGGTAGGCCGCTAGTAGAGGTAGGTTAGCTAGGGGAGGTAGCTAGTAGCATCTAGTAGCTAAGAAGTAAGCTTCTAGGATGCAGGATAGCTCACGCTTCTTCAAGGAAGCTCCCCACGCCGACCTAAAGGCGGCGGAGGAAGCTTCCTTGAAGAAGCGCTCGCACTAATGATTTGATGCCTTGATTTCTGGGGAAGCTTAACGTAACAAGAAGCTACTACTAGGGGTTCCTGGCATCAGCAAGGACGCTACTAGGGGCTCCTGGCCTTACTACTAGGAGCAAGAAGCATGTTAAAGCCGTGCCTTTGGAGACTCCAAACTCCAGCCGAGGCCCCTTAGTGCCCTGGCCCGGGGAGCCGTGGTCCAAGGAGATGCCAGAAGCGCGATACATTTGGGAGGCGGGGAAGCGACCGGCCCCAGGAGGGCCAGAATGGAGGCGTTGGAGGGTATTTGAAAACGTCACAATCCTTGGGACATACAAGGATGTACAGATAAGTACCGATATACCATATCATACCATATCCATTCAAACCCTAGACACCATTGGGAAAGTCCATATTATTTGTATTACTTTTTCTACGCAGGAAGGCTTGCCTAGTCTCTCTTAGAGCCACCCCAATCACCAGGTTTGCAGAGAAACCAGCAGATCACAGATCCGGCAACGTGTTGATGCTTCAGTGTAAATATACAATATGTACCAAAGCAAGGCTGCAGGAATAGACCTCCCGAAGAATGCGCATTCGACCTCACTGAATCAGAAAACACCCTATGGCACCAGGTGCTTGACGGGATTGATTCAGATCCTGGCAAGGACGGGGAATCGCTGGAGCTTGTTGAGAACCAACCTGGATCTTCCAACTCTGCAAAAGTTCGGCCCTTCGGCTGCGGCTGGTTTGATCAAAAGGCTGAAATTTGGCACCCTTGGAAGATCCAGGAAAACCACGAAGCCAAGATTTTTTGAAGTGACTGACTGCAAACGGAGTCGGTACATCCATGGGAGAGATGACAGAGTGAGAGAATTCTTGAGGAAAAGCGATGGAGATCGCCACTTGGCAAGACCACAGCTTCTCTTTCACAGCCATTTGGTTGGGTAACACCACGCGATGCACAGTCAGATTTTCAGAAGGGAATCCTTTTCCAAGCACCAACTGCTCCAAACGGATTGGGAACGGAGGCGATCACGGTGATTGCGTCCGTCGCAGGATGCCTTGACGGTTCGATGTGATGATCTCGAAGCGCCCGGAACTCGTGATGCCGCGAGACGGACGTTTTTGACGGCGCAAGGGCGGGATCGGGTTTGATCTGCCACAGTCTATCACTATGCTTACGATACCGTAGTGTTGCAACAGTTCGGTTTGAATTTATTCATCCCACACTTCAACTTTCTCCTGACGTTGCAGCATGTGTCCACGTTCTTTGACCCTAACAGTGTTCAGAGTGTGTCACAACCTCCCTTTACATGGGATGTGTCCACGCCGGCCGGGTTTTGCCCTAGTTTGAGCGAAAGAACAGCAGATCCCACAGAGTCTAAGCGCCCGGCACACGCGAAACTCGCCACTCATGGCCGTGCGCACCTTGTCCTTGCTCTTTTTGGTGCCGGTGTGCGCTGATTTCCTGGAAGCCCGTCCGGCGAACCCGCCAGCGGCAGTGAATGCGGTGAATTCCACCTGGAGCAACTTCGTGTATTGCAAGTGTGGCCACACTTGCGCAACTTGCTTTCTTTTAGGGTATATTACTCTCCAAGTCATGTTCGACTCTTCTTTGTGATGCCATTCTTGTGCGAACCGAGTCACGCTGAGAATTCCAAGACACAAGTTCAACGGAAGCTTTCGTCATGAACTCCAGCACCTCTGGTCATCATGTTTGTTTTTTTCTATTTCGTGCCATTTCCAAGTCCGAGGCCAAGCAAGTTGGATCTTGGTATGTCTTCGACCTTTACCAATCCTGCGCTTGTGCTCCATGTGACGAGGAGAAAGCCGAGGCGGCCGAGGCCAGCGCTGTGATGCCAGCCACTGAGGCGCTCCGGTACGGTCAGGTGAGGTGGTGAAGGGATGAACGAGACCATACGGGACCATGAGATCACCTATTATAGGGTATACGGTATGATGATGGTATGATGTTGCAGGACTTCATCCTGCTTCATATGTTCAACCATTTGAGGAGTCGAGCTGGCGGGGCGATGTTTCTTGGGCAAAAATACAAAGCAAGATCTATAGGTACCTCCATGATGTTGTGAACAGATGGGAAGGAAAGATCCTTGTTCCTTTTTCTGCGATACGGGCTGTTGTACAGGAAAAGCCGGAAAAGACCGAGAAGAGCTTGAAAGCTATGGACAAGGAGGGTTCCTGGGATGCTGCGAGCCTGCTTGGAAGCAACGTCCTCTACTGTGCCTTGCCAACCCATTGCCCATAGAAAGATGAGCATAACGATGCAGTATCGAGTGATCTCTCCAAGGGAGTGACTTGTGTCGCGTGTGATGGCATCCTTTGTTGGCGAGCTGCCCAGATGAGAATGCACATGAAGGAAGGTTTCTTAAATGGCACTATCCAAGAAGTGGTGCTGTTCATAGCTTTTCATAGGTTCAGGGCATAGATGGCCATTTACTATTGGTTGGTTGAGAAATAAGTGTACAACCAATTTATATATATGGTACCAAACCAACTCCTCTATATTTCGCAAAAGGACATATTGGTTCAGGGATGACCCGGGATGACTGTGACGTGTTCAACATTCTTTGTTCTTCCAGCGAAAACCCGAGCTCCTTGTCATGGGTTCTCCAACCTGGAGCACAACCCCTGTGACTGCTGCCCTGAAATATTGGAACTCAAGCAGCTTCACGAGCAAACATGATCTTTTTTGTGTCGTGATCCAATTTTAACACATGTACTTAGATCATCAACGTGTTGTACGGTTTTGTGCGTTCCTTAATGTGTCGACGTTTGTCAGTCACCACAAATGTTGTTGGAATAATTTTAGATATCTTGCAAGTTGAATTGGTCTATCTGTGTGTGTTTCCCTTGATTGGTTTAGTATCACAATATCCTTGCGTCTTCCGCATAAACTCTGAGATGGTGCTTGTTGGACGGAGGACAGCGAAGGAAGACTTACGTAGAAATAACGTTTGTGTCAGTGATGGTCATTGTGTTTGGAACGGCTGTACAGTGAGTGGGAGACCACCACCAACCAAACACCACGTTGACAGCAAATCACCGTCAGCAACCCATGAAATGCTGGGCAGTACTGCTCAGCGCCTCAACTGCTCACAGGCATTTTGTCGGTTGATTGGGCAGGTGTTTGGTGACGGTCTGCCTGGATTGTCAGGTCTGACCTTGTACATGTCGTGTGTGCCATAACTTTCCCATCGTAGCTCTGTCAGACTAAAGCGGGGGTTTCTTTTTGCTACCAAACAGAACTGCTTGTTTCTTTTTTGTCCAAAATGAGCGAACCCTGCAAGTACTGGTCAAGAACATATCCGCTGCTGAACTACACTGTTCATTGCTGCTTTGCATGTTGCATGTTCGGGGATCGAAAAACACGCTCGTGAACACTCGCCGAGGCCCTTGTGGACCGGGTTGTGCGTATGGCCGTCAATTGGGCATGACAACCTACTATTGCTTCCGCCCAACCGGCTGGTTTGAAGCAAATCTGGGACGTATAGTTTGTACGACATACAAGTGCGGAAGTGTCAAAGCCGTGGTTGTTGGACATCCGACCAGCCAAGAATTTGAACCCGTTTCAAAAAACATGCAAGTGTGACACGTGGCACATGTTGTCGACACATGTTGTCGACATGGGTGAGGCTACGGATGCAGGCCGTGCTATCGTTGAGCTGAGAGGCGCCTGATGTATAGAATATACTGTTTGAATGTACAGACGGCATCGCAATTGGGACCAGACTTGGTTCGACAGCAGGCGGTGCACAAGAGGAAAGCTCGGGGTGTTCCACGAGGTTTTCCAAATGCACACGCTCCAAGCAGCCGCTCCACGTGTGCAGATGTGATTCGCAGATGTTGACAGCAGTGGTGGCGAACAGCACAGACCTGTAGAGATGTCAATCGCTGCACTCTCTTGACCTGCTCCACACGTTGCATGGAAGCAATGCCATGCAGCAGCAAGACTTTGCCGCTGCTATGTTTTAAATGCAGCTGCTGAAAACCAAAGCACGCCGGCGTCTTTCCCGTGCTCTTTGGGTACGGCACATTCATCCACAAAGGTTCTTGATGTACTTTCTCACTTTCACTGCACAAATCGTCCACATTTGGCGGTGTTATTATTGGAAGCTTCTCTCGATGTTATGACAAGTGGAAGACATTGGACGTGCAGTCATTGAAATAATCACGGAAGGGGACAAAAACACCTGTTTGAGGAAAATAGTCATTCCATGATGATTTCAGGGAGTGTACATCATTTGACGGATAGAACTTCGTGGAGATGTACCTTGGCTGCTCTTTCTCCGAGTGACTCTTGGAAGTGACCAGTCCTCCCACACATCCAGCCTATCCGCTCCAACTCTCAACATGGGTATCAAAGTAGGAAGACCTCCCAGGCAACGAATTGAACAAAAGGGATTGGGGGTTTCCCTATTTAAACGCACATCAACATCATCTCTCAACCAACCAATCCTCTCATCTGGACTCATCTTGCAGGTCAATTCCCCCACACCGTCACAAAAGCCCCGCGGCCGAGGGTCAAGGAGCTGTGTTGCCGTCAGCGGTGTGGTGGCTTTGCGCTGCACAAGGGCATTGCCTACTTTCGACTGGCCTCTCCTGAGGCCGAGCAGGGCCTCTTGTGTGTCGAAGAGTCGGGCTGTACGCCAGAAGATCTTTGGACAAAATGTGGATGTGGAGGTCAACCGGAAGTGAATAAAGATATATTAGGAGTTAGAAGGGGTCTGGTCACCCTCACCCTTCAGCTTCAGGAGAACTTGCGTGAAGCAACTGCTGTGTCTAAAGGGCGTATAAACAGTTTAAAATGATTTGGTGTTTCAAAGTTTAAACTGCTCTGGGATTATTGAGCATGATTTAGCTGAATGAAATTAGGATGTCTCTTGTTTGTAAATAACCCCACGATACCCCACACCAACCGGGGTTATCAATGGATAGTTTGCATACTGTTGAGCCATTTTCAGTTCTGACTGTTCGGAAGGGGGATCGCAGTCCAAGCCAATGCAGATTGACTCCCGCTGATCCTGAGCTTCCTACACAAAACAATAGGGGACCCTGAGTTGTTTGCCTGTATTCCAAAGCAACCCGGATGTCGGCTTTTCGGCAAAAAGCGTCCAGTATTGTATCCACTGAGGCCCTGGGCATGTTTTCGGCAAACAGTGTTTATTCTGGTGTCCTTTCCTTTTTCAGTTGGGGTTTGCATTATAAAGACGGGCTTAGCTGAAGGCAGTTCTAGGGGGGCTGAATTTGTAACTGGCTGCTGTGTGATTGCAACATGCCCCTAGTAGCTTTCTGTAGCGAAGCCCTTTGCTCCTAGTAGCGTCTTTGCTCCTAGTAGTAAGGCCAGGA